ACTTCACCTGCTGCCTTGCCATTTAGTATGGTTGCTTCAATCAAATTTGGAAACAATTTTTTGACTGAAAGTCTTGTGCCATTACACAAAGTCGGTGGCTTCAGATTTCGTAGAAGTATAATAGGTGAACCGACTTTCAGGACCAAACGATGCGGTGGCAGACCGGGGGGATCCAAAGAATTCAAGAATTCAGTTGGATAATTGACTACTTCATTTGGCCGTTGATTGTCTGCGGATTCAGCTCTAAACTGTGCACGCCGCTCTCTGTACACCGCTCTACCTCGGGCATTCACTTGAGCGCGTTGCTCTTCGCTTTGATTTCTTCTCCTTATTGACATCCGATGTGAATCACGCGTATGCCTGCCAACCGTATTACGTCTGCGTAGTGGAGGCATTTTCTAAAGTATTCTTTTCGAATAAATGTAGCAAATCGATTGAATTAAATCTGGAAAAAACACACAATGTTGTTGTCAATTTTTTTTAATAATTGTAAACATTCGCCAGCTGTTTCTGTTTATTTATTAGTAAAAGGCAGGACTGCCAATCTTGCGGCAAAACAATAATAAAAGTCCAAAAAAACACGTAAAGCCAAACAGAATTAATTGCAAAACGTGCAATGATACACACATTAAATTTCTTATGTGCACCCTCCACACAGACCCCAATCACTTCTGAAAATTTCATTTTATGTGCACCCTCCACACAGACCCCAATCACCCCTGAAAATTTCATTGAAATCGGGCAAGCCGTCTAGGAATGATAGAAATCCGAAAAAACACGTAAAGCCAAACAGAATTATTATTTTTTTTTTGTTTTTGCAAAACGTGCAAAGATACACACATGAAATTTCTTATGTGCACCCTCCACACAGACCCCAATCACCCCTGAAAATTTCTTTGATATCGGGCAAGCCGTCTAGGAGGAGTATGCGAACAGGAAGTTTTGCCACTTAATTTTATATATATATATTTGTCTCTGTACGATTTGTAGGTCGCTGGGAATAAGCGCCTTATTTTGGAATTAGATAAAGATATTACGCGAATACCTCTCAAAACTACTAACTTTCATTGATTTTTGTATATAATAAAACTCATTAAACTAATCACGTATTTCTTACCAGATAGAAACAGGGTTGCTTAAGTAGCCAAAAGAAAATTTTACAAGAGTTGAGCGTTCTTTTGCGGCTCGTTTACAAAGAAATGCAGCTATAATTTAGGGTGCTTTCTGCATGTACGTATTTTGTACTTTCTTTTATTTTTGCTTTCGATTTGCTGATTTATGCATACAAAACAAAACTCAAGCTTAGCAATGGCGCTGACCACAACTGCACAATTTATTGTGATTTATTTCGCCCGACAGCGATTTTCCGAAGCGAGTTAGCTG